AAATTATACTTTAAATTCTAAAAACTATATTTTAATAAAATTTATATATGAGAATTTATAATTTAATAAAAATATTTTTTTAATTAAAAAAAGTGCGATTCGATTTGGTTTTTTGCAATTTTTAAATTTTGAAACCTAAACCAAACCATTTTGAAACGGTTTGGTTCGGTTTGATCGAAAAAAATCGTGGGTCCACGTGGACCCAAACCAACGACTTCGATTCGATTTGCAATTTTGTGATTTTTTTGTGCAGCCCTAGGCGCATTGACACAAACACATGATTGAGTAATATGTCTATGAATTGGAAGATGTTTTTTTGTTAGACGTGCGACTTTAGTTTATTGTTGGCAGCTTAAATAAGACCAAACAATTTTGAAACCTGGAGATCACATCAACCTTTGAATTCACAAATTAAATCGCATATGCTCGAGTGAAGAATAAAAATCCTTATGTATATTAGGGTTAAATAGAACTCTACTTATCTATTTCTGTGATTGGATTTCTTGTTCCTGATACGGGGTAGAGTTAGGGCTTGTGTGATTCTTAAAGCTCGAATGCTAATTTTTGTGAGTAATCTCTTATCTTTTTGCTTTGTAAGCGTGGACCTAAATATGGTGAGCGAAAGGTTTAGGGTCTTTCCTATGTGAGACTTTTGATAGGTTTTACCAAGTTGTTCATGTAGAGTAATGTTATTTAGCACTAATAACATCCAACAACGGCCTAAAGGGTCACATTATGGTGAGGGAAAGGTTTAGGGTCTCTCCTATGTGAGAATTTTTATAACTTTCACTGAGTTGTTCATGTAGAGTAATATTATTGAGCATTAGTAGTATTAAACATCAGCCCAAGGGGGCACATTTATGATATTAAATCATAGTTTCAACACGCTCTAGCTATGGTTACTCTAATTTTGCTTGTACTATCTTAACATCATTTTCATGAATTGTTAAGTCATGAACCTAAGTTCTATTTGGAGGCCATTGAATAGCAAGTAGACAAACGGATTCTTCATGTAAAAATAAAGTGTGGGTTCGAGTAGCTAAAGCCTTAAATAACCTTTTGTAGATGCATGTAGCTTTATCCATCTTCTATTAAAAGAGGGAATTCCTCCGTTTACTGTTTATTCTGGACGTATTTCCCTCTTCCCATTTTATCCCTCTACTATTCATTAAAAAACAAAAACGCTAAGGAGTAAAAAATGTAGGCGGTGAAAGGCGATGGAAAATATCATGTTTCTTCCATGCTAAGATATTTCAGTGATTATCAACCGACTATAAAATATCTTGTTTGTTCCATGCATATATAAGGTATTGCAATCTTTCTTATAATTACAAACCGACTTGCCAAGATATACATGCAAATCTATTAAAACCAATTGCAATAAGCCATTATCTGATTTCATTTGCAAGAAGACAGTATATAATTTCATTTCAACCATCAAATAAATTATTAGCTTTATCAACTCAGTAATCAAAGAGAAGAAACGAAATTTGAGACTGAACGACGCGAGTCAGTCAGAACAAATGTGAGTTTCTGCTGTGTTTTTTTATTTTCCAGCATAAAATTATTATGATTTTCATATATGTATGGGTTTGGTATATTCTAATATTTTTCAGGTATATATATGTATCTGCATCTATATATTTCTCAGGTTAGAGTATGAATATTTATTTTTCTTTGTTTAGTATGAATTTTTAGTTTAATTTGTTGTAGTTATTGATATACTGCAGAGGAATCAAAAAATCCCCATCTACTTCGAATATAAAAAAAAAAACGATTGCTCATCACCGTGCTTCGCATACGGAGCATCATGCTCCGCACACTGAGGAGTTGATGCTCTGCACAGCGTGGAGATCACTCCGTAGTGCGCGAAGTGATCTCTCTGCACACGACACAATGTACGGAGCTCTCTCCGTACATTGCTGAGCAAGGTTTTTTTTTTCCTTCAGTTTTTTTATTATTTTTTTTTTTTGACAATTTTTTATTCATTTCATATATACATAGAATCAGAATTTCTTCCGTGGCTCCGCACTTGCGCCTTTTATTTTTATTTCTTTTTTTAGCTAAAAATTTTACTTATTTACATTTTACATAAACTATAAATACAATTTCACTTATTAATAATTTAATTCGAAAACATTAGAAAATATTCAATTACATACATACATGAAAAATCACAATTCCTTTCGGGGGCGTTGCCCCCGAGCCCCCACGAGGGGCATTGCCCCCTCGACCTCAGCGGGCAGGTCGATCCCCGTCGGGGGACATCACATTACCTCCGCTAACATTACCTCTGTAACGGGCAATAGACTAGTATTAGCTAAAAGAGTGTAATACTCAATTTGATTCCTCTATATTTAAAGCCACGTTAGTGGCATAACTCATTATGTAGAGAATTAAAACAATTAGGATGTGTTTGATTGAATTTATTTTTCATGAAAAATTTTATTTTTTCATTCAAATTTCTACTTGTGTCTGATTAACATTTTTTCTATGGAAAATATTTCCAAAAGTTGGTCACGTGATCACATTTTTCTCAAAATAAAAATAAAAAACATTTTCTTTAAGAAGTGGTATGTTTTTATAATTTTATTTATCAAGCAAGTACACAATGTCTCTCTCATCTACCAATTTTCTCTCATCTACCTACCAATAAATTATAGTGTCCTCTTTAGTTCCGGCCCATTTTGAATGCATTATTACTATTAATGATCGACTAAGTGTATCAGTTGAGATATTTTCTCCTTTAATCGTCTAGCGACCTTCCTCTTCTTCTTTGACACTTGTTCATCCCCTTTCTAGCAATTTAGTCGAAAGAATGATCACAATGATCAACCTTATGCCAACATTGTGCCTCAACAGTGTCAAAGGTAGCAAAACCTTTAGGTATTAGGACTAGGAAGGAGGCTTGTTCCACACATAAATACATTCTTAATAACAAAAAAGAGGTTATGTTTCACAATCAATCAATAGTTCAAGGTTTATGTATCAAAATGCTATTGGCTAATGGATATTAAGATTGTACATTTTGAGGTGACAACCTGACTTTTCAAGATTAAATACCCAACTTTCAAATAATTTAGCCTCGATAATAAATGGGCATGTGAAAATTATTGCAAGACACTATTCCACGAATAAGATCATTAAACAATTTTCATTAAAAACTACGAATAACAATGAAAAACCACTAAACCTCCGAAGCAATGGAGTTGTTATCAGAGGACCAACATGACCATAAAGCACAATAAATTGGTACAATCAGTGTATAACACTATTGTTTTAAATCATATCGTGAGACAGAGTTAATAAATCAAAAAATTGCCATAATCGTCTTATACTCTTGCTACATGCACACAAAGAAAATTAAACATAATGCACATTTTACATTCTCCCAACCATTTCAATTAAAATAGACAGTACTTCATACAAACTAAGCCTTTGTTTAGCCTCCATTTTAATTCAGATTTGGGAAAAACGTATTTTAGAATAATAATTTTTTTTGGAAAATGAATGGTTAAAAAAGAAAGAAAATTTTGGGTTTACGTGTAATACTATTTTATTGGAGAATGTGTAATTGATAAGAAAAGAAAGAAAAAATGAATTATAATTTTATTGGAACCCAAATAGGAGCTAAATCATCACACATTCAATGGTATTTTCCATTATTATCCTAGAATGACAAATTCTTATAATTATCGATTATATTAAAATTGATTAATCAAATACTTTCCTTGCTCTATTCAACTCATTGCTACATTTATGAATGGTATATTTATGAATTATTCTTCTTGAACAGGGCCACCTCGGCCCTATTCAGACTTGGTGTCCCCTATTGGCAGGGGGTCTGTGGGAGCAGACCGGTGCGCCCCTGTTTGAACAGGCCGGGATGGTTATGTTCAAGTAGCATGATTATATATTTATTTGTATTCGTTAAATACAACACAAGTATACAAGGGAAAAAAGAGGTCGCTGGCTAGCATTCAATTATTTGAAACATTGTGCACTCAACTGCAAAAAAAGTTTATTACTTTTACATTATATGTATATGTATATTTATAAATGATATCTTAAGCATCAATTAATTGGTGAATCAAGTCACCTGCTTAAAAAATCATTTTTTTTATATATTATGAAGATTATGAATTATAGATATAGTAGTGATGTATTACAAAATTTCTTCATCGTCAATGGAGGTGGCGCCGCCGGGGAAAACCTCCGAAGAAGAATTCCAACGCCATACCTCTGATAAATAGCCACCATAAGTATCTGTCCCATTATGTTCTATCAGCTCTGGCAGCTCTATCTCCGCCCAGAAATCATCTCCACTGCCGTCACGCAAAACTTCACCTTTTTCGGCCACCATATTGGCCGCCAATGCCGCAGCGGCCTGAATATCCTTGGCCGTGCTAGTCAAGGGTCGGGGCAAGTGCTCGATTTCATCGGGAAAGTTGAGCTGAGCCTTGTGTCCTTTAAGACAATAAGCAGCCACATCATATGCCCTAGCTGCCATTTCTGGAGCTGGGAAGGAACCTAGCCATATTCGAGTTTTTTTACGCGGTTCTCGAATTTCGGACACCCATTTTCCCCACCGTCTTTTACGAACACCATGGTAGACCGGATGCCGAGTTCCGCTACTTTGTTTCATGCATTTTTCCACGGTGGTGGAGCTGTGAAGAGATGTGGTTATTTGATGTTCATAGCATGGTGGTGGTTGCTCCATTATACTAAAGAGTTGGCTTTTGGGCATGATACTTATATACTCATGTCCACATTGGACCTACCAAGTTTTTATGACCAATTTGCCCCCCGTCCACAAATAAAATCCAACATCACTATTAGATATTCGTAACATTTTACTGCCGCGAAGTCGACGTTAGTGTTGTTTTTGCCCCCCACGTACAAATCTATGGACCTGGGCTGGCTTGGTTGTGATCAATACTGACAATGACAAAACTAACCCTTGATGTAGACTTGTTGGGCTGTCATGGCTCAATGCTTAAAAAGTTTTCTGATAGGAAAAGTTCACGCGTTAGAGGGCAACACGGGATGATTGTGATGTGACCTTTTTTTGTTGTTTGAATGGATTTTTTTACTGATTTTGCTACTCGTACAGGGGCTGCTTTGCATAGGAGGATACTTAACACTCACATGGTGTGTGTACATAAATTATGTACAACAAGAATTATCCTTCTTTTTTCAAGTCAAATAACAGCCACTTAGGATCATTTCCTTCCTTCTGTAACCTTTCTGTAAAGCAGGTAGCAAAATTCCGTTTTTACGTATTATTCAGGGAAAATCAGAGGCATTGATGGTGAAATGTGATAAAATTTGAAACAAAAAAGGGGGTTTTGCTGCACTTTTTGTTCTTTTCCTTTCTTTTAAGTGACCAGAATGAATGAATCTAATAAAAAGTTACCATCATTGGTTGTGAATTACGGTTTCTATACATTTTTCCCATGCAAGTTTTACTTTTCTAGTCAATTTTTAATTATGATCTCGAGAAAGTTAGTCAGTACCCAACAATGAATTTAACTATGATCGGGAAGGTGTCCCTAATTCAACATGTTTTGAGCTTCACCTAAACTATGCTTTTTATTCAATTCCGTTTCTTTATATACCTAAACTAAAATTTGTACCTAGAGCGACGTGAACTACAAGAGGAGAGAGAAAAAGTCCTCAAACAGGACAAGCAGGCTCCACCTTCGCTCAGTACGAGAGGCTTGGCCTCGAGCTTATAATCTAGGGAGAGCGTGTTCGACCTCATGTTGCTAGGATATGATTGACCTTTAGCTACAATCTAAAGAGAGTAGGCTCGACCTCGGACTACTGGAATATACTCAACCTCAATCTTATTAAGGGATAAATCCTATATTAGTTAAATACCAAAATATAGACTAACATATAAAGATTTTGATTACTCTTTTTAATAAGATTGATCTTTTAAGATAGAACCTCAAGTTTTAACATGGTATCAGATCACATTTAACTGCAGCGAGCAATTCGATTCCATTAAGACTAAAAAAAACGAGCACACGAATTTCAAGATTGAATAACTTTAAGCGTAAGGGATAAGGCTATACACTAAGTAATGTAAAATGCTCATGAATGATGAACATAGTCACGTACTAATAAAGCTTTCGGGTGTAATACCAAAACGAATAGGACACTTGCAAGACCTCATATAATCTAATGATCTAGGACTCTTGTAATTGAATGTAAGCGTACTAGCGAGATTGAGTTTTCTTGGTTGAAATGTAATTGCCACTAGGCTCTCGTGATGGAATCCTAGTGGGATTAGGTTTATGTTGGAGGGTATGCCCTTATTTTGTAGTAAGCGTGTCTAGCACAAGCTTGAGATCATAGTCTTGTTCCTTGTGAATCACCCTAAGCATCGAGTCATAACTCAAGGTAGCTTCATTGATGGGAGAGCCTTAAGTGGTGACCTCAGGTTAGAAGGTCCCCAAGGTAGGGGTATTTTCCATTAGGACCTAGTAGGAGAACATCGAGCGTGTAAAGGAAAACCTTGAATTCTTGATCTTACGATGCAAACCTAGATAACTTTTTGTTATTATTAATATTGTAAATTAAAAATAATAATTCATTTGTAAATGAATATTTTCCTCTTTATTTACCTTTTAATGTCATTTGAGCGCTCCACTTCTATTATTTTTCATTTGGAAAGCATATTTGATTATACTCAAAAGTAAGTTGAAAATAATGACGTTTGACTCAACTAACATCTAGAGGGGGTGAATATGTGATTTAATCAAAATTTAACTTTACCAATTAATAAATGTAACAAGTCACAATTATTAATTATATTTAGATGAATTCACATGCAATATTATCCTAAGTTAAATTATCGCAACTGATACATTGCGAAAAAATATATAACACTACGAAATTGATGACGGAGAAAACCCTCACAGTTATAAAAACACTCTAGGTCCAAGCCAATATTATCTACTATAAACGATAATGACTCACAAACCGTTCAGACTTGACTAAACCTTAGTACTTTCTGATATCATGACTGTAATCACTCAGTCCTTCCTGGACTACGTACTCCTACACCAACTCCCGACCTTTTGGAATCGTTTATCTCTTATGGATCGCCTGAAAACTCATCGTTCTCCTTCAACAGAAATGCAGTCACCTTCTCTCTTATAAAACAATCCTCAATCAACTCTTTTCACGAAGTGAGGCTTGGATATTTCTAGTATAGTAGTTTTTGGGTAGTTTAGGATAGATGAACTCTGGAAAATTGCAATCTAGGATTTTTTGATAAACATCATCGCTCGAGCGCTAGGCTAGCGTCAGACGAACGACAAATGCGCCGCCCAAGCGTCAGTTTAGCGACAAGCTAAAATAATTCCGATAACTTTTACTCTTTGTTCCACCGAACCCAATGACTTATAGTTCATCTATACAACCTATCAATTGACTCTTTGACTTTTAAAGCTCTTTTATAACTATATTTTTGTTTAAAGATTTCCAAAAGCTATAAAAACCTAACATAAGTAAAATATAAGCCTACCCAAAAAAAAAAAAGACAATGAAAAATACTTGCACCTAATGACATCCAAACACAATGAAAAATTGAATGAAAGATTACACTCTAAATCTTGATAATTCTCTCTCAAAACTGACACGTATTCCCTTTCATTTGTCTCTCTCGCACCCAAATACATCCTTCATCGCCTAACTTAAGTATCGGAGTACACGTAATAGTCATTTTCGCCGGAGCTACAACTTTGTGCAGTCGAACGTGGTGTCGAGGTATGCTAGTAACATACACGTGAGAGAGAGAGGAACTGAAATCTGTTGACGGTTGAGTTTCATTGAATTTAGAGGTCATCGACAATTTTCTTTCCAGTATTTAATGCAATCATAAATTAGAATTATTTTATTTATTTTTTTGTTAAAATTAAGATATTCTTTTAATAATTTTGTAGAAAGGCAAAAAATTACTCTTTTATATTTTCAAAGAGGGACCATAGCAAGTTGATGGGTTTTCATTTATGCATTTATGGTGAGACCACAACTATTTATTAATTTTTAAATTGCCCCATTCACAACCATATGTTATTCATTTTCTGTTGGTATTATATAAATGACCTCGATAATCGTTGCACCTATCAATCATGGTCCAATAGTAGTTCAAATAGCAAGGATAATTTAGCAGATTTGTATTTAATCACCATAAAGGTGGATTTAAATCCATGTGAAATATAAAAATAATTAAAAACATATCACATAATTATCATATTTCAATTGATAAGTTGGGCTAAAACAGCTCAAGGGAAGCATGCTTTTCAACTAGACCCGGCCCAGTTTAGATAATTTGCCAGTACCACACTAATAATGTTTTGAATTTTATGACATAATGTTTAGATGCAATAAATATGTCAAGGGAAAATTACCTAGAAACCTACATGTAAAGACTAATTTTCAAAAATAAGGGTGATTAATTTTTATTTCAAAAATCAGATGGTAATTAGATTTTAATAAGTATAATTAATAAAAATCTAATTAAACCTAATCTCCGTACCCACCAGACATTGCACCGCATTTCATTCCCAAATCCAAACCCTAAATATTTTCCCACTTCTTCCTTCTCTCTATTCTCTCTCTTTCATTATCGTCCTCTCTACCACCACCCATCCAACCATCTCCCTTTTCGGTGCAGCACAGTGTCACCGACCGCCGAAGGAAACAACATACTTGTCGCGACGAAGATGATTGAGACGTCGCTGCTTGTAGAAGCAACGACGAAAATTATTCCATGGGGAGCTTTTCCATACATGCACTAAAGTCATGTCCTAAATAGCCACACAAAAGTATCGATGTCCTGATTGGACAACAAACCACAACCGAGAAGCATTGATTGTCCATGATGATTAACGCCAACAAAATGGGCGAAAGGCATATCATATTTATTAGTTAGATAAGTGGTATCAAATGTGATAACATCTTTGAACTCCTTGTACACTTGCCTAGACCTATTATCTGCCCAAAATACATTTTTCAGTCTAGACTCATCGTCAAATCCATACTGAAGTAGAATTCCGAGCATTGAGCTTGCATCTTGGAAAAATAGGATTGTATCGCTGTTGCATCTCCTTCCCCAAGTCTTAATCGTCTCACCTGTTCAATATAATTTTAACAATCCTTTTCCACGTAAGTTATGTTTTCATGTTCACTAGCTTCAACCACTACAGAGTTAAAACTTTTGTGTAAAGGAATTCCAACCATGTCATTCACTTCAAGCTTTTGTTTCACTTTTGAACTTAATTCTCGATTACAGTGATACAATCTCGACTTAGAAGGACTTGTTTTATGATTCTGGTCGAGGTACACTGCGTTTATTCTCCAAATTCCAAAAATATCTTACAGAGTGATCCTAACTTTACAACATGTTATATTGTTGGTTGGGGCCTCAAAGAACCACTTATACTGGTGCTTTTTCGACCTTCGTGACTACATGTGATAATCACATATTTAATTTTCTCATCGTCTTCCTTTTTCGAATTTCTTTTCCTAATTGGAAAACCTATATGGTATGCATATCCTTTATAGAAGTCCCATAATTCCTTTTCATCATTGAACATCTTACCCACCTCAGGCACCATTGGACCATCTTCTCCTAACGTTGCCTTCGGCACTGATATCATATTATCCATAATATTCTCGTCATCATTTCTCTCCACAACAAATTCT